CCGTTTTAAATTATAGCTTTGATTATGTTGTTATGCAGTTTAATAATTTACATAACTCTTAATCCGTAATTATTAAAATCAACATATTAAACAAATTAAATATTTCCTAGGTAACCAACAATTGAAAAATGTATGCATTCAGTCCAAAACTGTTTCGATCCTTAAATACGCGATTTTCGAAAAATCCTTTCTTATGACTCAGTGAAAGACTTCCGAATTTCAGGTGTGTACGTTGAATAGTTTTTGAGATTCAGCGATTAGTGAGTCAGTAGTATTAGGATTTTATATTTCTACTATATATAATATAATATGAGTATTGGTGTACGCTGAGATTATTTCTATCGATAAGTTTCTCGGAACAATTATTCTTATCTATACGACAACGATGGTCAAAAAGGATTGGTTGCAGGTAGCTGGAAACCCGCGAGCCGCCGCGGCGTGCCGCACAATATGTATTGGCGATGAATAATTATAATTGTTAATAACTCCACTAAAACGCAAAATTTTTGAAAATCCTCTTTTATTGCGCGGTGAAAATATGAGAAGAACCTCTATTTCAAATTTCAAGTTCGTACGTTGTGTAGTTTTTGAGATACAGCGATCAGTGAGTGAGTGGTATTTGGATTTTATATGTATAGATGACCGCGAGTACGTAATTTATGATTTTTAAAAAATGTCAAGAACTTTGATATAAATAATAAAATTAACCAATTACTATGTAAGACAGTTCCCTTTACGAGGTGGAGGGCAATCAAACCCATGGCCCCTTCATAGGACGTCCCTGAATCTGAGTATGCCCAAATTTGTCTATTTAAAATATGTCTACAATTTAAGAAGATATCCTAGAATCTAATTAGCATTTTATAATTTAATGTTAATCAAAAACCTACTATTGCATCCTACTCATGGGCGGAACTAGAGCCCAAATATTGGGGGTGCTGAAATTTCTGAAAATAAAATAAAAATGGTATTTAATTGTAATTACTATGTTAATTACTATGTATAGATCTGAAAAAAAAACAGGAGTGCTACATTTAAAATCAGGGGTGCTAAAACCCCTATTGTGCCCCCCTAATTGCGCCTATGATCCTACTCATATTTTTATTGGCCATTTAAATTAAGCGATTTAATATATATAAATAACAATTTTTTTTTATAATTTACATATAACTAATTAAAAATATCCGATCAATTTTGTTTAAAAAACTAAATTAAAATTGAAAATTCAACGTTTATTAATATTTATTATATGTATGACTGCAGTTTACTACGTGTATATTATTTAACTGTAATAGACTATCTAAAAGTGTTTTATTACATAAATATTAAAAAAATTGGACTGTTTATAATATAAATACACATAAAATATTTAATGTAAACATGAACATATAGTTTTATAAATGCATAATTTATTTGCTGTAGTAAGTGACATGGGAAATATTTTAAATTTATTATTGTCGTATACGCCACGCAGAGGCTTGACGTATAGCAACACAAAAAAGAAGTATTTGTCGGTTGTTGGACACTCTAACCGTCAAACAAGCACGTAAATAAAAACCTTATAATTGGCCCGGACGACTACCTTCTTGAGTTTCAAAGAATACGATCTAGCAGTGCTTAATAGGATAGTCAAAAAACAGGTTTTTTAAAAAGCTTACTTTTCTTTAGTAGCTCTAAAGTTATTTTACACTCGAAACAACTGTCAAAGAATAAGATCCAGTGTTGGGACTTATCTAGATAGATTTTTTGTCATCTTTTATCTTATCTAGATAAATAATGCCAAGTTATCTCATTACTTATTTAAGATAAAATTTTACTTATCTAGATAATTATCTGTATTCTTGCTAAGATTAGAGTTATTTTTATTCTTGTACGGAGACAAATCCAACAAATTAGAGATCATAAAAATCGGTCCAGCCGTTTTTTAATTTTTTTTTTTTTTTTTTGTATTCATAATTATAATACGTATATTATTAATAAGTAAATATTATTTCTTGGTATGTCATTTTATTTGTATTTTCACGTCGGGATAATATTTTTGGTATTTTTAAGCTTAATTTCTTATTTTCCCATGGAAGTTCCAAATATAGTAGGTATTTGATTTTAGTATACACACGTAACTCATACGCTGAATAGTTATTACTTCACTCTTGGAACCCGTAAAGTCGTAACTACTTATAAAATAATGAAAATCATCAAATTAATATTATATGGAAAATAATATTGTTAACTTAAAATATGGTTTTATGTATTCTGTATTCATCCTGATACGTACAGAGCAATTTTCATTTTTTTTTTTTCTGTAACATTTTAGTGATTTACTGTCATTAAATATTGTACATTATTTATAAATACTGCTTAATGGTACACCACATTACTACAATAAACATTAAACACCTAGGTACCTATTGATAATAATGATTATAATCAGGAACGTATTTAAAAGGTGGGGCCATGGAACCCGTGCCCCCCTCCTTTCACCGTATTTTATACTTTATTTATTATTTTAGGCCCTTTTTCACGCACGGGCACACGGTGAAATACTGGAATATCAATATATCTTGATTATATACCATCGATTAAACGGATTAGCATTGTATACACCCTGAATACACCTTAATATACTCCCTGAAATAATTATAAAACCTGAATAAGTAGTTGATGCATATGCTAATAAACACCCCAGACGTCTTCAGTTATTGTATTTACAAAAATTATATTTAAAAATATGTTTTATTATAAATTTGTGTAATAAAAGTTTATGTTTCTATCAAACACTTGTATTTTGATTATTTTGTTATGAATAACGACAATTTTGTTGAGATGGAAAAGTTATAACTATGTATACTTTGAACTTTTTGTTTGTATCCCCTCCCCCCCAATAAGATATTTCTAAATACGCCCCTAATTATAATTGAGTCTTCATAGATATTATTAGAATATAAAATATTGACCAAAAAATAACATTTTTTGAAAATATCTTTTTTTTTATCTAGATAAAAATGAAATTATCTTTTATCTTTATCTAGATGAATTTGAACATATTATCTTTCATCTTTAACTAGATAAATTTTGCATTATCTATTCCCAACACTGATAAGACTGGATGTTTCGAGCGTGAGAACCTTTACCTAACTATATTGTACTCTCCCCTCAAACTGACAAAGAATATGATCTAGCATTGAATTGAGGTTTGAAATTCAATATAGTTTTAACACCCTTTTTGTAAATGTACCAACTTTCTCATATACTGGCACAAGTATGTAAAGTAGAAAAATTATTAAATATGAACACCTTTTATAATTATATTTAAAAACCTTTTATAATTATATTTAAAACCTTTTATAATTATATTTAAAACCTTTTATAATTATATTTAAAACCTTTTAATTTAAGACAACGAAAAATATTTATTAATACAAAAAAAAAAAAAAACAAAAGAATGACCGATAACTTCACTCGTAAATCGGGCAGCGTTCGATGGCAGTAGAACAAACGAACATCACGTCTTGTGGGGGTCGCTTCATTCTATTGCAATCTATCTGGTCAGCATTTCGTGAAGATGGTATGTGTATGTGTATGTATATGTGTATGTATACGTTTGCTGACAATATATTAATTTTATGTTTATAATAATAATTAAATTAAATTAGGTGTTAGGTGATAATACAATATTGTGATGCATTTCTTTTCATGCATTTGGTAAGCATCGTAAATATTTTTTTTTAGTAGTAAAGAAGTACTTCAAAGTTTTATGTGAAATATCCATAAATTATATTCTCATATATTTTACGCATCATCTTTGGCAGGGTTTTGAGAAATTTTTAAAAATGTTTATTTATTAAGTTATGAACGAAATAAAATTGCTGGTCTTAGAAGTTACTAATTGAAAATGTTAGGACACAAATGAAATACTCGTATGATTATTTAAAAAAAATCATAATACTATTTCAAAACCGATATATTTCTAGCTTCTAGTATTGAAATGTAATAAATGTTCTTACTATTAATAATTTACTATACAGATTATTTTGTATTTCGTAAACATATGGTAATACTTCAATGAAGGAAGAATTTTCAAGGGGTTATATACTCCTAACCCCTCTGTATACACCGTAGATGCTATACATAGAGTGATAGTGTTATATATGCAATAACTATTACGCAAAAAAATGAGAAATATCTTTAGAGTCTAAAAATTCTAATTCAAATCAAATATTAGTCAATTAATAAAAAATATTTTCTAGACTTTGAATTACGATCTCTCAATATGTCACATATAAACCGGCGGAATCGTCAAGGTATCTGTTACATCTGAACTTGATTTGATTCATTTATATTCGTTTACCCACAATTCATGGTTGTATGGAAAACATTAGATTTTTTTCCGCTGCTTTTTCAGCATTTCGTATAGTGACCATAATATTGATTATCAATAGTTAATATTAATGTCAATTATTGATTTTATAATACGAGTATTCTATAGATTAATATTTATCGTTAGATAAAAAAAATAAAACATGTCTATTCACCAATGTTGGCTATAAAATGCCTTATTTATTTCTTCTTTTTATTCGAACATATTTTATCGAGCATTTAATATGGATTCAAGAACACGAAAAAAAAAATGGGGGGGGGGGGGCCGAACTCCCCTGGTCTACGGCGAGTTATACCTGTAAGGAACAGTATACGTGTGATGTATTGGTCGAGGCGGCAATCGACGTGCCAATAGTATTACCTAAGCTGAGACAACCGGAACCGTACACAGGTACACGGTCTTCCTTGCGAACGTGGTGCGCCTACTGCAGCACGTTGTCGACTTAAAGGTGGCGGCCACGAAAACCATCCAGACAAAGGCGTTTCGCGCGTATCGTGGGCGGAGAGAGGACAATAAGCCCGTCGTAGTCTAAACGTTACGAGTGTGTTTCATTATTTTTTTTTTTTTTTTTTATCACCGGTACAGATAAAGGCGCAAGTAGCAAAAATTATTCCATCCGCCCGCGGCCCAGTTGTGCGGTGTGTGCAATGCACATCGGCGTCAGTTAACAACGCGCGCGCGCCGCTCCGAGTCCTCTGACCGCCGCCGCCGCCGCAGCGTGTCGACATCCGTGTGCGTCGTACTCACTCAGCGCGTTCCCCGTGTGCCGTTCAGCGACGACGACATGACAGACGTAATGACCGGCTGCTGCTGTTACTGCTGCTGCCACTGCTGCTGAGGGCTGTTGCGCTGTGCCGTCGTGTCGCGAAGGCTGCACCGATAATCGCATAGCGGCGATGACGTCTTCCGTGGCGTCGATGCGGCGTGAGCTCAGCAACGGGCCCGCCGCGCTGGTGGCCGTCGACGCCGCGCTGTCCACGGTTGTCATCACCCCCGTGGTGGTCACCTATTGGAGGATCACTTGGAAGCTGATGGACGTGTACTTGCTGCCGGGGCGCAAGGCGTGGAGTACCGCCGCGTCCGTGGCCATCGGTTTCCTCGGGCTGTTCGTGTTCACGTTCTTCCAGCACCGGCTCAAGTGGTACCTGAAGCCCAGGAAACACACGGCCATGTACTACGTCATATCCCGACTGTACACGGCCGCGTTTGCGTACTCGTGCATAAACTCGTGGCGCGGCGTATGGGACGCCATGGACATGCTGACCGGCACGCGGCCGTCCGTGGTCGCCACGTCCGTGGCCCTAGGCATATGCAGCTTGGCTTTCATGAAGACCCTGCGCAACATCGTCGCTCCCCCCATAGCCATACTGACCGATAGCTACGACGGATACTTCGAGGTGCCCACGCTGTTCCGCATCGGAATCAGAGTGAGATCCGTCCTATAATATGTTTGTCGATATTTCTGTTGACGTCGTCGTTGTTGTTGTGGTGATGTTGGTGATGGTGATGATAGTGGTGGTGGTGGTGGTGTTTGGTGTCGTGGTGGTGGTTTTTTGACACCTCGACCGTGGTGGTATATACTTTCTACAATACGTGAATTGAAATATAGGTTTTGATTTCTGCGAAATTCCGTGAAAGATCTAAGATTAGTAAAAATCTTCGTAAAAGCGATACATTTATAATCAAATAACCTCATTGTGCGGTATACGAAAATATTACTTTTACTGTCGTGTCAGTAATTTTTGTAAAATATTTAATACTATAATAATTCAATTTTGGTTTTCGTGTTACTCTAGGCAGTTATAAAATCGGTACAAAAAATAATCGAAGAATTTGTATTGATCACTTAAAACTATCATGTCAATAAATACGGCATAGGTTTCAGGTATTTTTTTTTTTTTTGAGGTTCCAGGTGATTTCTTATATGTGTGCTATTAAAATTGAAGCAAAATTTATATGATTTCATGAAGCATTATCATTATGTAGTACATATATTTGTATAAAACCATCAATATAATTTTTAAAAAATTTGAAAATAACCAATTTACATACATTAGAATATACTGATACATTAAATTAACATAACTTATAAATTTTATTATTAAAAAAAAAAAAAAAATATTTAGTCATTTTGCAAAATATTTCTAAAAATACGAAAAAAACTTCGAAATCCATCGATTCGTTATGTCTTTATAATTCCAAACAATCGAATCTAATAAAAAGCATATTAAGATAAATTAAAAAAAAAAAAAAATTATCTCGTATATAAAAAGTTTTTGATATTGTAAAGCGATTTTCGCTTAAAATTGTTTTTTTTTAAAAATAATAAACAATAGTTGTTTTTAATTTTTAAATACTTTTTAATATAATGCTTTCTAGTGATACAGGCTTCCGTTTCGAGGAGTCCGTCTCAAACATATCACCAAGGATAATTCCGTCTTTATTCTAAGGATTTATATAATATTATATTCATCAGTACATATTTATTTATTAATTTTTCGAGGGAATATTTTGAATCATAAAAATCGAATTTTAATATGTATACTTTAATTTAAATAAATTGAAATCAGATATATTTATTTTAATAAAACGTTTTTATAAAATGTATTACGGATTTTCTTGGAGTAATTAATTTTCTCAAATAGAACACAGAATATTTTTACATTAGTTATTAAATTAATATAGTGTATACTCCTATAATTTCTAAAATGTCTGCTAATATTTTTATATAATATATTTATGATCAAAAATAAAACATTTGATGTTTGATATCAAATCTCATAAAATATAACACAAATTATCACAAATACCTATAAAACTATAAATACGTATAATTTCGATGACTTAATTGAAAATGCATATGTTACGTTTTTTTTATGCTCATCATAAAAAACGTATATACCTCTAATTTTATCATAATTGCAATACGTGTATTTACTGAATTGTACTTTTTCAATATAGTACACATTTTATGGTTAGTCGAAATGGAAGGATTAAAAACTACGAATGTTTTTTTTTTAATAGGAACCATAATGCAAATACAACGAGAAAAATCGAAATTATATAATATTCAAGTAAAAAAAAATCTTTAACACGTTATAATGTTTATATAATACTAATTTATTTTAAATATATACCATTTAACGATTAAATTATACGTAAAAAATAATTGCTGCAAAGTATTTAAAGGTCATTGGGTCCGTATACGACATTCATCAGAGTTTATGAATCCCTCGTCTATTAAAAGTCTTTATTGTGTGTTAGTTAGGTATGTATTAAAATATAGATCCCATCATTTATCATCCGTTTGCGGAAAGCGAAATTGTTTATCTTGAGCTAGTTCAAAACCGATTTCATGGTGTCATTGTCATGTTAAAAAAACATTAATGGTATTATTAAAATTGTCAACCATCATAAGTTATATTAAGGCCAATAGAATTGGAACCTGTTTTCTTTTGAAAATGTCCAAACTTTATCTTTGAACATCTTGAATACTAAATAGACCATATTTTATATTTAATAAGCTATTATACATATTGTATTAGGTAACAATATTTTGATTCTCTTTGGAAATTATTTACATTATCACAATTTATAAAAAAAAAAATAATTATAAAGTAAGATAAAGGATTTATAAACTTTTATTAGGTTACCATACCCTAGTATTAAGTTAAAAACTTAGAAGAAATTGTCCAATTTAAATTAAATAGTTGGTTGTTTAAATTAAACAAGAAAAACTATAAACACCAAGTAGTTACATAAAGAATTAGACCAAATTAATTTTTTTCTCTTTTTCGTTACCTATCGTTTAAAATAGTAGTTTTAACCAAATACAGTTCGAGTAAAATAAAAACATTTGAATTAAAAATAAAAGCAATAAAATTAAAAAATAAATTATTTCATGTATAACAATCTTTATAAACAATTAACTTCTTATATTTTTATGCTTGCAGGACGGTACTGGGTCATGGTTGTATGTTTTGGACAGTTTTTTTAGTGTTTGTATAATCGGTTCACTTGTAGTCATTGTTTGGCGAGGTGTTTGGAACCTAATGGACCAGTATCTATACCCGAAAGACATGAACACAACAGCGATTTTGTCATTGGTAATGAAATATTTATGCAACAATACTTGTTTCAGGAAAAATAATACAAAAAAACAACTCAATAAATTAAGTCTAATAAAATTAAAATAATTACATCGCAATATAGTATTAAGTATAATGAATTCAAATTTATAATACATAAGAGCATTACATCTTCAATCTTTACTCACCATTATGACACATCATTTAGAATTTAATGAGGAATACAATATTTATAATAATCATTAATAGGATACTACATATTTCAACTAAAACATATAAATATAAGAAATTAGCAAAATATTAAGATCAAAAATCAATATTTATATAAATAAATAAATAAATAAATAAATAAATGCTTAACCTTGAATATTATTATATTTGTAAAGTATGATCGGTTTCAAATTAAATATTCATCACCAGGTTCATACAAAATTAATAAAATTGTGACTGAATATGAACAAATGAAGGAAGGAATACATTTTATTTGTAAAATACAACTGGTTTCGAATTAAAAATGCATTATCAGATGTATAAAAAGTCAATAAAATTGCAACTAATTATGAAAATATAAAGGAAAGAATACATTTAATAGTTTGTTTTCAAAATTGTGAAATTTAAACTTGTACGTATATCATAGTATAACTTAATTAAATTCATTATTTCTTTACTGGTAGACAAATATTATTGAATTTCTCTGTTGGCTTCCAAATTGCTGGAATTGGTGTATTAGTATAGATATAACAGGAAACCTTGTAATCAAAAAATAGTATGTCCTACAAGTGCATATTTATTAGGGCTTTTAAAATGGACCTTATTATTCGCAGAAGACAATGTTTACTTAATGAAAAAATTACAATAATTTATTTTAAACGTTTGTTTAATTGGTCTTTTCCGTAAGCTATATTGTGATTGACCGCTATCGTTGTTTATTTCTTATTAAACGTTTTTTAGGCCACACACATTCAATTTCCATCTTACATTTGTTGTAAAGCCACAGTGGGTTTAAAAAAATAATTATAAAGTATGCAAAGAGCACTAGTATACCAATTGATTCTTAATCTAAGAATCCCGGAAAACATTTTCGAGGCTTCAAATGATGATACATTAATTTTAGATTCAAAACGAAGCTAAAATATATTAGTTACCTACCATGGTATGTGTTTATTTATCTAGATATTTACAAAATTTTAACCAGAAGGAGACTTGGCTTTTTGATAGTACATTTGGTTTAGTTGATGCAATCCGAAGATATTTTTTTACATTTTTCAATAGTTTTTTTAAAAAAACGAAATTCATTGAATGTTTATATACATTTTGATTAAACGATGTGAGTAATTTTGTTGTCTAAAAATATAAATATAAATGGTTAAAGCTGTAACATAAACTGGACCCTTATATTAATATTAAATACATATAATAATTTTAACGGTTATTATTAAATTAATTGAATCAAAATCGAAAGGTTATGCATTTTTTTACTGTAAAATATTGTACATCTAACTTCATTAAGAAATTATTAGCTACTTATACTCATAAGCACAGGCAAGGGAAGAACATTGTGAGGGTCACCCTCCCCATTAATAAACACCCATTGAAACAAGAATTAGCCTTTTAAATAAAATGTACTAATTTATTTTTATAAGGTAATTTAATTGTTGAACCCCTTCCAATAATAATCCATTCCTTCATATTGATGACACGATTAAAATATTTAATATTGAATAAATATTTCCAAATAATTCGTCAAAAGTAACATTATAATTTAGAAATAATATATTATTAATAATTATATTATACTTATAGGTTATCGGATATAGTGTAGTACTAACTGCTTTTGCATTGCAACCTTTTGTTAAAAAGTTGGTTAACAAAGTTAGCGGTCTCAAACGAATATTAGCCGTGGATGTTTACTTGCTGTTCTCATTTTTTGGTGCAGTAAATGTATGGAGGGGTGTATGGATTATGCTGGACGAACACTTTATACCAGGTTAGTTTTAAGGTAAAAATATAAAATTAAAATTAATGTTAGGGTTGCAAATTCTTTTTAGAAACTCGATAGGTAAAATTTAATAAAGCAATGTTAAATAATTATTTGAAATTGTTACATATAAAAAGATCGAATAAATAACATTGAATGATGCTTATAAAACTACGCTTAGTTATAATTTATACTAATTTATATATTAAAATAATTTATACAATTACATACAATTTAAAAGAAAAGTATTTATTATTTACAGAATAATTAAATCGAGTCTATAAATGCAAACTTGGGTAGGCACTTAGTGGCGTTAATTTGAACCAATTACACCTTTTTTTATTTAAATATAAGATGTTATATATATACATAGTTATAATTTTAATCCAGCAAAATAAATTAAAATATATTATAGTATCAGACCTTTGAGTTAAAGTTCTCAATCGAAATTTATAATTTGTTAACATAATCAAATTTGTCGTATAAAGCTCAAAAGTTAAGTTATTAAACCTATAGCTGATAAATTTCAAATTCATAAGATTAAAAGTGTAAGAGTATCGTTTTTTGTATAATATTAAAATAGCTAAACCCCTTTTCAAAACACATAAATATGTTGTATACATTTTAAGCTTCTATAACTTGTTAATAATTTTATTAAATTCAATATTAAAAATTATAAACATTTATTTTGTGAAATAATTAATTCACAATAAAAAATGATCACTACTACCAACTTTTCAGATGCTCCAATTACCAGTTATTGGGTATCACACATTGCATGTTTTGGTTTTCTTGTCTTATTGAACTCATCAAACTCGATATTAGTCCGTGGCGTTTACATAGATGCTGAAGAAGACGGTACACAATGTGTCGATTTCCCATGTTATTATGTTCGACTTTTAGTTCAGGTAAGAAATAAAATAATAAAAATAACAATAATTATATGTAATACCATGGTTAAATTTTTTAAATTTTTTATTAATGAAAAAAAAAATTATTTGTACTCTTAATATCGATTTTCAGTCATTTATAAATAATGTATTAAATAGATTTTGGTTTTAATCAATTTATAAAAAAAATTATTTTCAAAACATTATTATGTATATACGAGTATAACAAAATCACTAAACTTTAAATTACATAAAATTGTATGACTATTTAAAAATAATTCTACAAAAACTTAACAGTTAACAGATTGTGAGCAATATTATGATTTCCCCATCTCAGGTTTTATAAGTTACAACATTTAACATAACATACATATATTGATTCATAGCTATAAAAATAACAACTTAGTATTCCCATTTTTCATTCACTTTTTGCCAAGAATTATGAGTCCTAAAAAAAATTATAATATCACAATAGATAATATAGAATATTGGTATGATCAATATTTCTGTGATAATTAGATAATTAGATTAAATACATAGATTATTATAATATTAAGATTTGATTCTGATTGAAAATATAATATATAAATGATTGGGATTATACTTCATAGTTGATGTAATCAATTGAAGTTTTATTAAATTACTCTGCACCATTTAAAAGATTACATTTTTTTTTTATTTATTTATATAATAACATTTACAATCTGTATATAAAAATATTACAATAAGCAAATAGTTTAACAAGAATTCAGTGACTTTGAAGATTTGTGAAGGGAAGCTATCCAGTGATAGGACCCTTTTGACGTGTAACAGTTAGGACTGCAAATGGTGTTTCAGTTTAGGAGGTTGCGACACCATCGTATTTTGAGGCGACAAGAGGGGTTATCTAGAATTGTGGCTGAGTGTTGGTTTGCAATCAGAAGATTTGGATGGTGAAGTAATTTGGAGTAAAATTTTTTATAATGGATTTTAACTAAGTTTTCAACTGACTCGATGTTTAAGTCTTTGTGAAGGGTGTAATTAGAAATATACCAAGGAGCTGACGTTATTGTGCGGAAGGAAATGGACTGTAAGGCTTGAATTGTTTTAATTTGGGTTGGTTTTGCACAACGCCATATTTGGGCTCCGTATGACCAGATTGGTCTTAATATTGATTTATATATATAATTATTTTATTATGGAGTGGAAGTTTTGATTTCAACATAGGACATAGTAAATAGGATCTTGAATTTAGAGAATTTCTTTTTGATTTGAGGCGAGAACCTCTAGTTAGTCTTTTGTCTAAAGTTATTCCAAGATATTTAATTTGAGACAAGGAGGGGATAAGAACTCCTTGAAATAAGATAATAGGTGTGTTTTTTTTATTGAGGATAAGAGACAAGAACGGATTTATCTGCATTGATTTTAATTTTCCAGTTAGAGGACCGTTTATCAATAAGGTTGAAGTGGAGTTAAAGAGCATTCAATGCTTCATCTGAGCTACTATGTGGAGATAAGATGGAAGTATCATCGGCGTAGGTGGCTAAGAAAGTGTTTTGTGTTGTGAGGATATCTGATGTGAAGATGTTGTAAAGGTCCGGAGAGAGATCACTACCTTGAGGGACTCTGGCTTGGATTAGAAAAAGAGAAGAAAAAGAATTACCGTGACGTACTTTGAAGGTACGATTTTCAAGGTAAGATCGAATTAATAGGTATAGGGGCACAGGAAGGAATTGTTTGATTTTATAAAGCAGATCAGTGTGCCAGACCCTATTGAAGGCTTGCGCCACATCGAGGAATACTCCTGAGCAATATTTTTTTCCATAAAAGTGGATGAAATTGTGTCGACTAGTCTATGTACTTGTTGTATTGTGGAATGTTTTGCACGAAATCCAAATTGGGCATTAGATATTATTTTTTGAGTTTCTGTGATTGGTCTTAACTTTTTCAAAACGACTTTCTCGAACAATTTACCTAATGTTGGAAGTAGGATTATAGGTCTATATGAAGTTGGTACATTGGGGGTTTTACCTGGTTTAGGTATGAGAATTATGATGGATAATTTCCAGGCGACAGGAAAATAAGACAATCTTAACATAGAGTTAAATATACATGTAAGCAAGACAATTGATTTTTTTGGGAGATGTTTTAAAATATTATTTGTTATCAAGTCGTGCCTAGGAGATTTGTTGGGCTTTAACCTTTGTACAATATTTGAAATTTCATTTGGAGAGACATAGGTAATGGGGCATCAATGAATTTATTTATTTTATCTAAATGTGCGGTATTAGGAATAATGTTTTGCTGTGAAAATATTCGAGAGATGTTCCCAAAAAGATTGGCTTTGTCTAGATCTGAAAGTGCAAGCGAACCATCTGATTTTTTAATGGGACTAGAGAATTTTTTTAATTTAAGCAAGTTTTTCGTGGTTTTCCATAAAGAACCATTTTGTGTATTTAAAAGTTTAAATTTTGTGTTAAAAAGATCATTTTTGTATTTTTGGATTAATTTTTTGATGGTGTTAGACCGGTGTTGAGGGTTGACTTGTCGGAAGGTAGTCTTGATCTTTGCCAACGGGAGCGTGTCCTGCATTTTTCAGCAATTAAAACTTGTATATCAAGAGTAAAAGATAATCGTTGTGTTTAGAGTGGCAATTCGGATTAGGAGAATAAGAACACTCATACACTGCTGATTAGATTGAGCTGACTAAATGTTGAGCTGCGGATTCTATTTCGTTGCAAGATTTGAGAGAATTTTTTAAGTTTGTACTATTTACTAACGACGTGAAAAAATGATTCCAGTTGACTGGACCTTTGGAAATGGAGGGACGAGGAGAAATAAGTATTGGAGATTTCATAATGTTAAGCATGACTGGTGAGTGGTCTGAAGACAGATCACATACATTTTGAATGTTGTGATTTATATGGTTGGGGATTGACGTTATAAAAAAATCACGTCGGGTTGCCTGTTTAGATGAGTTGGCCAGTAGATTGGACCTGGGGGGGGGGGAAATGACTGAAAGCTCGTTCGTTTGGATGGAATCAAAGAATATTCGACCTCTGGGATTTTCAACACGACTACCCCATAATATGTGTTTAGCATTATAATTGCCTCCAGTTAGGAAGGTGCGACCTAATGAGGAAAAAAATTGATTTAAAAGTAACTGCGATATACTTGGCTGAGGTTAACCGAGGTTATGATTTATTGAAATTGGAACATTTGTTGCTAGGATAGTGGGGAATTGAAAGCACGGTAGAGGATAATGTTGGATTGAAGATAATATTAAGATAGTGGAACCGGCATGAGACGTCTCATCATGGTGATTGGTATTGTAAACATTGTAGCCAGGAAAGAAATGTTTAGAATTGTTTATATAGTGGTTTTCGGTGATAAAAGCTACATCAATTTGATTTTCTAAAAGAAAATTTAATAGTTCGGGTTCTTTTTGTTTAAGACCGTTAGCATTCCAGAAAATGATTTTAAGATTTTTATTATTAATTTAATTATGTATCATTATTTAAAATTAATTTATTCATGACTGTGGTAAAAAATTGAATTAGGGGAATTATTAGTTGTTTTCATTAAGAAAAATGATAATTGATTATTTTATATGTTATAGGGAGGATTTGATCGGGATTCGGTTTTATTTGAATTACTGTGGTTCTGAGGTTTTTGAGTAAGGTTAGGAAAAGTTTTATTATTAGTAATGTTAAATGGGGTGGAAAGTGTCCTTTCACTGGATTGAATCCCCTGTTTGTTTACATAAGTATTATAATTCACATAATTTTTAGAATTTGGGTTTGACTTGAGATTGGAACGTTGTAAGCTTTTGTGGGCTGAACAGCCGGGGTAATTCGCTGTGTAGGTCACCTCGACACAAGGTACAGGTTGCAGGTGTATCTTTTGATTTTGTACACTGTTGGATAGGGTGGAAATCGGCGCAAAAAAACACATTTAGGAGGATGAGCACAATAACTTTTGGAGTGGCCGTACTCCTGACAGTTAGAGCATTAGATGATTTCTATTTTTTTATGGGGCTCTTCGACCGTTATTTTGGTGTGAAGTAGTGATGTTAGTTTGAATATCTCGTTGTTGATTTGAGCAGGTATGAAGTCAACAAAAAATATTGAAAGGGGGCGTTTGGTAGTTTTGTGAATAATATTAGTGACTTGGTAGACTGAATAGCCAATTTCTTCAATAGAGACACCAACTTCTGAAGTTGGAGTTGAAAGGTGTAAATTGCAAAATATACTATAATATATATTGTTATTTAATAACAATACGAAAAGCTTTATTTTCACGGCCTTGGTATATATAGTATTCTGCTTTACCTTGTTTTAAATATTTAATGACCTTCCTGTACGAGTCGGAGTTGGTGGTGCTAATTTTTAAATTATTAGCTGATGATTTGGAACTGAAGTTTTGTGAACCAATCAATTTTATTAATTGATTACGTTGTTCGATGAAATCAATAACATTGCGTATGAATATTGGAGGGGGTAACGGAGTGTGATTGTTTTGGACATCGGAATCGTTTAAGTTGATTTTTGATGTATCGGACATTTCGGTATAATTTTCAATGTCATGAATATGAAGAGAATTATATCTATTTGTGCTAAAAAACAGGCTTAAGTTTCTTTAACTCGGCTTTTTCGGTTGAACTGGTTGAAGAGAGGTTTCATTTAGAATTTTTTTTGGCTAATTGAAAATCGTCATTTTCGTTGTCCGAAAAAACTTCATTAGAAGTACTGGATTGATTTGAAACGCTCTGTATGCTGTTTACATTTTTACGATTCGAAATTTCAAGTGGGCAGCAAATTTAACATCTATTACTACGAATTGAATGATGTTAGTCTTGAGATTATTGGAAAATTGCTCGAGATTAATTTATATAACGTAATAGAATAGACGACACGTGCGTGTCGCTACGGAACACAACGACATGTGATATATAATTATTTTTTTAATTTATACGAGTAATATAATAAATTATATTATTTTTTTGCTATTAAAATTTAATGACAAATTAGTATTTTGCTTCAGGAATTATTGTATACTTATCATGACATCAAGATTACACTTAAAACATAACAAAGTCAAATGTCCATGAATGTAAAAATGTTATCACCATATAGGCATAAAATATTATCCTAATACCATTATACAAATTATTATTATATATTACCACAGTTCACACATATTGCATTAACATGCAAATTTCAGTTAAGACAAAATTACTCGTTATATTTTATTTAGTGAAAATTTAAATGTCACAAACATTCTGAATTTATACACCGTGAAATAGTAATTATCAGTATACATGATATATATGCAGTACCATGTGTGATTATTGTAGGAAGGTATATTATAATTAAAGACCAGATATAATAGTGTTAAAAATATCTAAAAATTGCAATGAAAAATACATTAAAATTAAATAGTAAAATCATATCAAATATATAATCATTAATTACATACTTAAATAATATTATGGAAATTATTATAATTTTTCTGAAATAATAATTCTGAATTAAAATTTATAATTATATACATCTCTAAATTGTGTTTTTGAAAATTATATCATCTGTTACTTAAAATATGTTTATATAATGAAAAAGTACGTTCAATGTCTACACTTGTTACTGGTACATATTTAAAATAATTTAAAAAATTTGGTGTTATATCTAAATTAACATTTTGATTTTCTGTCATAAACTCAGAGTAAGTTTTAATAGTTTTATATCCTTCATTTTTTTCTAAGACATAGATATTTTAATTTATCTTTAACTATTTTCCTATTGGGACTGCAAGGAATATTTATCAAAATATTTTCAACTTCACTTATTATGTTTGAACTATTAAGTAATTTGATATTTGATCCTTCTAAACTTGTGAGTTTTATGGATAAATCAGATAAATATAATTTTAAAAATAATAAACTACAATTTACGTTGCAATCATATTTTTATTGTAAAATTACTTTAGAAATAATAATTTGTTTATTTTATCACGTGAAGTATACAAACATTTCAAAATCATTATAAATAGCAAAGAATTGCATTATTAAATTAAATAGGAATAATTAAACCGATTCGTAAACATATTTGATCAGATTTGATTTATTTGGTATCAATAAAAAGTTGCAATATCAGTTAAATCCGGTCTTTAATTATAATACAACTATAATCAAACTTGATATTTATTTATTTATTTATTTTAAAACCCAAAGAGTAAAAGTACAGTATTTAATATAATATATATAATTACAAAAAGTATACAATACAATAAGGTAATATTTATTTTATTATAAATGTGTAACTACCGTAGAGGATCATTACAAAATTCGAAGTTTTTAATTTTGTTGCACGAATTAAGCATATGATTTATCGGACTATTTAATACATAATTTTAAATATTTATGTTTGTAAGTAATAAGATTCTGGCATTCAATTATGAGAATTTTCACTTTATTTTTTCCAATAGTTCCCGACACAACATGTCCGGAACTATTGGAAATTATAATATTTTTATCGTTCAATTTATAAGCTTGTAAATAAATCTTACATCAGTCTTTAAGTTTCTATTAACTAGTAGCACGATACCACATGTAAAAATCACTTCACCCAGAAAACAATTTTGCAATAGTTTTATTGTAACTTTTTGAATAAAATTATAATACATATTAAGAAATATGTGGGATGTACATATGTATAATATTGCTAATATTTTCGACATTATTAATAAAAAAAAAAATATTGTAAATACACGATAATAAACACTTGAAAATAATTCATTAAAATATATACAGAGAAGGGATTATTATAATAAAAATAAATATGAATAAAATTAAATATAATTATCACACTTTTTAGAAGTGAGGTAGACAAATATAGTGTATGTCAGTCCAACCAAAAGTTTGATGTAATGTTCATAATGAATTTAATTTTTAATAGGAAAAAAAAACATTTAATTAAATAAATTTATATTTACTAAATTTTTATAATTTTTTTTTTTTTTTGGTATAATGCAAATAATATGAAGGGCTACAGTGAAAAACAATAATTGTTAATATTCCTAAACTGTTTAGTATTACAATTTTAAAGTTTCAAAAATCAAAAAGCTAAGAGAGAAAACATGAAATAATTCATAAAAAATGTCCTGTTACAATAAAACTAATTTTTTATATAATGAATAAAAAAAAATGTAATTTACTTTTTAAAACAAGTGACAAAATGACATAATTATCAAATTTTTTTTCTTTCTTTAACTTTAATGTTTTTCCCTGTATTCCTTCATATAATATACATTATACCTACAATATTATTTAACACACTAAATTATAATCTACATTTTCCATGCATATTTAGAAGAGAAAACAGAGAAAACAAAAACGTGTTAAAGAAGAAGAAGAAGAAGAAGAAGAAGGCAAAGAAATGATGCCCGTGAAGGTTGAAGTGAATGAGAATTTCGAAAAAATTTTAATCACAGGTGAAAATGGTAGCATAACAATGCTAAACGAAATGAAAGAAACGTTGAACAGTGCTAAAATCGTTTGACATGACATTAATAAACATTGAGGTTTGTACTTTTAGATCTTTGAATATAATCATTTTCACATCAAAGCCAAATCATTTGTGTTCGTTTAAGATACGAGGAATATTTTTTATATCGATATAATAACTATTTTACTATTATGATGTATATATAATTTAGCCAGTTTCGTAATTATTTTTATTTTTTTCCTAGAGTTTTTGTAGTAATCGTGTGAATCAATGTGTTAATATTATAGGAGTAAATTATCGAAATTTGGTTTTACATTTTCAATTTTGTAAATAGTACAATTCAAATATTATTATATATTCGTAGTTGATATTATAATTAATTACAAATGTTACTAGTTTATTAAATGTATACTTTATTTACCCCTCTGCATTTATTGATAAAAAATAAATCATTGAACCATAACTGTACATTTTTGCTTGTAATAACATTCACAACGGAATTTTCAGATACAAGCGTCAATAAAAAAATACTTTTGTCATGATTATGAATATGCTTTGAACATTTTTAGAAATTCTTGAGAAAGATACTTCAAGATACATTCAAAGTACAAGCGAGTTAATAAAAAAGAAAAGATTGTATACTTATTTGTATATTAATTTGAATTAGTCATTAAAAAGAACATTTTATATTGTTAAGAAAACATTTAGAATGATATGGAACTACTTATTATCACGAACATAACTTTTTATGTAAGTACTCGTAATGTGTACTTAAATTATTTAAGTTTATAAAAGGCATAAACCATTACTTCAAACTATTATATGATTATAAATATTTTAATTATATTTTTAATTGTTTTTATTGACACAAAGCATATATTTTATATAATTTTGTAGTTATAAATTTAGTTTGTTCTAAATATTCTCAAGTAAATTAAATTTTAGTCTTCATTAATACATTTTATTTAAAGTTTTATATTTTTTAAAATAATAAATTTGGAGTAACCTGACTTATGAAATATTAAAAATAAATACAAATATTTGTACAATATTATATCCAATAACTAAAAATATTTTTAAAATAAACTGTCAGCTGTACTTTTTTATTTATCAATTTTAAATTAGTGCTTCCGAAAAATGGCTTCTTTACAAGCTAATTAAATGCCATTCATTTAAAAAATACCACAAATTTTTAATATTAATATTTACAGATTGTAATTTTTCTACGGTATTCAAAAAAAAAAAAAAAAATTGAAAATATTGCTTTTAAGAATTTAAATTAATTTCATTGCAAAACTTTTATCTTATAGAAAATGTTTAAAGTATAAAATAATATGCTATAATGACATAATATAAATTACATATTACTCTGTATTAAAACATAAAGATAGTTTAAATGAGTTCTAACTTTTTTTAATTCAATATTAAAGCCTGAAGTTATCCAATTTCGCAAGGAGAATTTACATGCTGAAAATAGTTTTAGGCAACCAAATAGCAAGTATTATAAATAATTTTAAACACGATTGTGTTTTGAATAATTTTTTAGCTATTATCGACTTTCTAGTATAAACCATATTCTGTTGCTATAGGAAAATAGTATAATATATATTCATATTTTAACATATAACTTAGAAAATATGTTATTCCGTTGTGTATCATATAACTATTCAAGTTTCAAAGGGATAACTGATAATTAATAACTTCTGCATATTATTTTTAACGCTGATGATTAACTAACACTTAATATCAAGAACTCATCAAACTTTTTCTACTGATTTATTTTTGAATATTTATTTACTATTGATTAAGTAAACAATAATATTAGTATTTACTACATTAATGAATTGACAAAAACAAAAATTAGATACTTTTTGATTATAGTTAATTTTCATTAAATGTATAGATCACGAATTATGTATTTATCTTCTTACGTATTACATTGAACTTTGTAAAAAAGTTATTAGATACTTCGCAACATTTTCAATACTTTATTGCAATAATTACTACATAGTATTATAAGCGCACATATTTTATAAAACTAATGTATAATATGATATGCTTTGTATGTATTGGTATAAAACATAGATACATTTATTTAAAATTTATATTTCTTATATCATTTGCTAAGAATATTTGGTTTTCTGGAACATTTTGATTTATTTTCCCATTTTTAGATAGTTAACTTATATTTAAATGTAATCTAATCTACTAATACTTATATTAAGTAAATATTATAAATTCGAACTCAAATAAATCTGTTTAAATCATTGACATCCGGGGTAATGTTGCATATTTTATTTTACTTTGTGCGAGTTTAATTTAAATAGGAAATAAAATATAGGATGTTGTATAAATTATACTTCCAGTCAGTCTGTTCCTCAGCGTCCGTTTCGGTGTTAGTTAACCCTCGGGAAGGTCCCATAGACTGGTTAGGAGAGACAATTAAAGAACAATAGCTACGTATAAACAAATTTGCGTTGTAATAAATTGTTTTCGTGCCATTAATCAACTAATGATATTATGGTAAGTAGATTACTCAAGACTTAGAAGTATAAAAATTATTTCTAAAAGTACATGAAATCCATTAAAAATGATATAAATATCATTTTCACATCCCGTTAAAGATATTTGCTTTTTTAAGAAAATTTCAGTTACAAAATTATAACGTTTAATTATTATCGATCATCTATCATATTTATCTACCATAAATTATAATTATTAAAAGATAATAATTTTGCATTATATTAATGCGTAAAATATATGATTATGCAATCCGTATGTTATTGAATGCATGCCTTCCTTGTATATCTTATATTTACTTACAGCATAAATTAAAATATAATCTAATTAAACATAAAAATAAACTAAAATATTAAATAAAAAAATTGAATTTAGTTTTACTTAAAATTTCTTTGTATAATTTAATGAAGATTTTTTTATGATGATTTAAGTTATAATAATAATTATAACAAAATACTGGTGTGCATAGTATACGACAAGTGAAGATTTCGATACCTATTTTATTTATTTTTAAAATAACCATTTTTCTTCAGACATTTAATTTTATGTCGTATATGTCGTCTATTTAATAAGCTTTAATAAGCCAACATTAACAAATAACAAAGATTAAATTATTTGTAAATAATATATTCTCTGAGGACAGTGAAATTCACACGTAGAACAAGATCTATATGATCTCTAGGTATACATCAACTTCAAACACGATCAAGTGGATAATCCAGAATTATCCGATTAAAACACAGTCCAACATTTAAATAGCAGATATCATTAAATCGCTAGTTTAAGTTATTATGTTCCAAAATTTCTTCAAAAGTTCAAACCATTAATAATACCCACCCATATTGTTATATATATTTTTTGTTATTCTTATTATTTTTATTATAAATATATTTTCTATATTAGTAGGTTTTGGTTAATTAGATAGGTTAGGTGCTGCTAATTAACACTGAAAAACATACACGTGTGTGTATATAATTACTTAACCACTTATACATGGATATAAAAAAATATTAGTTGATAATATATTATATATTAAATGATAAGTAAGTACCAATTTAATACAATTTATTTGAAACATATTACTCAGCGTTTTTGTCTTGAATCAAATAACTAAGTTTATACCAACCTTTTTTTTCTAGGTTGTTTACGTCACTGATTAAAATGTTGCAATTAATATTACCTCGATAACGGTTATTAATAATTTTAACAATACTATTTTCACACTTCCTTCCATAAGCAAATCGAATGTTCTATGTATCTTATTATATTTTTATATAATACAACTTTACAAATTTTACGTTCATACAGGGGCATTTTTACCTCTTGAAAATATTGTTATCACAAATGACGATAAAAAAAATTAATTTTATAACATAAAATTAATGTCAGATAAGAGTTGATTTAGTTTTTTTTTTAATGTCCAAATCTGCATGTAAAAGATATCTAGATTATTATTTTTAAATTATAGTTACATAAAGATTAAAAGATTTATAAGCGTAACGCGCTGAGCTACCAAATAATCAGATGGTCATCCATGATTTAAATCTCATGACTGTAAAAACTTGGATACCACAGCTATAAGCTTTAAAAATAAACAATTATCACAAATAAAACTCATTATAATATCAAATGGAAAGGTCATAAGTTGAGGTATCTGTAGAAATAGAGTGTGACGTTTTTAAACTTGAGAGTAATGGAAATCATTGTAATAAAAAATCAATTCAAGTCGTAAGATTTGAGACGTTTTAAAAATGTTCTGCCAAAAAAATAACAGCTCGATATTACCAAATTCAGACACTATAGTATAAAATACGTACAAAATATTATCGATCGAAATATTTTAGTATTAGTTATAAATTAGTTCCGTATTAAATATTTATGTTTTCAAAATTGAAAATGCTTTTTTCTTAAATTTAATCTAAAATAATAGATAAAGCAAAAATACCATGTAATGATTATAGTAATTTAAATAAGGTTAATACAATTTCTTGGTTTTAAATCTTAGAATTTATGATTATGTTCCCCAACGTGAAACTGGACAAATCTTTAAATTTCTTATTGATTTTATGATTTATTTTTGTACACAAGTTTCCTAATTGGTATGTCTTTTTCATATTCTCGTTGATATTCGGCCTTCAAGACCAAATAGTCCAACTTAATTGCCTTCGGTTTTCCTTATCTAATGTTATTTTCCAGTCTTCTCCTGGTCTTATTTTTTCCACATCTTCTCTTATCCTGTCTTCCCATCGTAATCTCGGGCATCCCAGTGATATTTTTCCTTGTGGAGTGTTTTCTATCACTGTTTTCAGCAAAGATCCTTACTTCCATCATGCGTAACCTACCCATATGAGTTGTCTCACGGTGATGTCTTACACAATACTTGGGTTTTGATAAACACTTTTAGTTCTCTATTTTTTCGAATTCTCCATTCTCTAGTATTTATGTATTTACATGGGTCATATATTTTTCTAATTATTTTCCTTTCGAAAATAGCTAGTGAATGTCTAGTCGGTCTTCCGTAGCGTCCATGTTTCGGATCCATAGGTTATAACTGGTTTTATTAATGTCCGATATAATTGAATTTTTAAGTTTGTAGAAAGTAATCT